TTCCCCACTTCAGAAATACGTCTCTGGTCAAGAATGTGGAAACATCAGCAAGCACACGGCATCTCACACGTAGAGGAGGAGCACCAGAACTGTTGGGGTTTCCAAGTGCTCGCCCAGGCCAAGAGAGAGACTGTAAGTGTCCCCTGCTTGCTGGGACAGTGCCGCGACATGGACCACTTGCTGCCTGGCCTAGCTGCTGCAGGTGGGGCTTTAGTTCAGGACCCTGTGTACACATTCCCTAGAAAGACAGCACCTTCCCAGAGATACAGAGGACCCACTTGCAAGTCAGTTCTTCTCACAATTGCCAATGGCGCCCTGTAGTTGCCACAAGAAAGTGAGCCTCTGAAGTGAGCTCGGGGACTCTCATTCCTGACTGCCCCCTTGGGTGCTGAGTGCAGTCCCCTCTGACTCCAGCAAGGCAGCTCTGGCTCCTCCTGGTAGCTGGGTTCCACTGTCCAGGCTCAAAAGACACTCAACGTTTCAGAGGTTGCATACAGGTGGTGCCTAATAAATATTGCTGGATGAGGAAGATGGCTTCAGGCTGTCAGTACCCTGGGCCAGACACAGTCATGGCTCCCATTGAAATCCATCCAGCTTGTGAGAAGAAAGGGAATGCCTCAGGTAAGGTCCTGGTTATTCCTCACCCCATCCAGGGGGACCCGAAGGGAGGGTGGCACCGAGGGAGGTGAGATTCTTCCACAGCCAGCAGGACACAGAGTTCCAGCTGCAGCAACCTTTTGTTCCAGCCACTGATGGCCATGGACTGATCTCAAAGTCCTCGGAACCACAGCAGGAACCAAATGAAGCAAAAATGGCCCGTGGGTTGGATCTATGTAATGACCGGTCGCCCTCCTCAAAGGAGTGCTAGCTTCCCCTTGATCCCACTGTATCCCCATGGAGCTGGCTGGACCAAGTCCCTGTGCAAGGAAAGAGAGAACCCCCATGCTCTCCCAGTGGGGGCAGACCTGGACTTTGGGGACCAGTCTAGCAGCAGAGGGGCAAGGAGCTAGCCCCTCGCTCCTGAGCCCAATGGAGCCATGTGGCAGGACCCTTGTCTGCATGGAACCAGTGGGGGTGGGGTGGAGCCCGTGAGCTGCAGGCTTGCTTCCGAGAGCTCTCAAGATGACATGCCGTACATGTGCGTGGGGCTGGTACTTTTCCAAGGGCTTTTAAATGTATTATCTTGTTGGAGGCTCACTTGAGACAAGGGCTCAAAGCAGACTCAAAAACAACTAACTTACCGAGCCCTGAATGGAGAGGAAGTTGAACACACAGTATATTTTTGCTGAATCTTAAACCAAAACAACCTTTTGTTAAAGAACAAACAAATAAACAAAAATGCTGAACGCTAATTCACAGTCTGAACCGAGGCTCTGGGCAGAGAATCATAGCAGAAAATTCAGAAAACATTCATTGGTGGGGGTGGGCCTGCTGGGATCACAGGCCAGTTCCCGAACAAGAGCTTACAGGGGCACACCAATGTGTCCTTGTGGGCAAGATGGATGTTTCCTGGCAGTCTCAAGTCCTGGGCTACCAGGAGACACTGGGGGGAGGTGTTGGGAAAGGGGGCATGCCGGGCGTAGGACCCTGAGTGTGGCAGCAAGGAGGGGCATGATGTTTGGAGGCCTGAGAGCCCTTCCCTTGGGAAAGGCCTGGAGGGGAAGGGGAGTGGCAGTGTTTACCAACCCCTCATTGGGGTTGTACTTGGAGCAGCAGGAGGAGGAGGGGTAGGAATCTCTGAGATGATCCACTAGGAATAACTTCATCCCACTGGAGTAGCTCCTTTGAAATACATCTATCTCCTCCATTTTTGGTGGCATGGAAAGAGGAAGTGACATCAATGGGCCTTTATGTGCCCCAGAGAGGCCAGGGTTACTGGCAGGGCCTGGATGGGGGAGTAGGGTGAGCCCCTGCCCATATCTGTCCCAGTGGGGTCCTTGTGTGGGACACACAGGTGCCCCCTGGGCTGTAGAGCAAGGTGCACACATGTGTACACACCCATATGCACACACTCTGTGGCTCTTGGCCTTCAACCCCACTCACAGGAAGCCACTCTGTAGGTAGCAGGGAGCAGAGACGGGATGTGATGAGTCTGAGTCATCTTTGCTCCCCTTCTTCCCGCAGCCTGTCGGATGCCACCTCCTGCCAGGGTCTGAGTGCACAGGGATCTGGACTCAGCCCTTCTCAATGGGCCTCAGAGGCTACCTTGGCTCTCCTGGGAGTCAGGTGACCACTGACCACGCCCCTAAGCATTCATCATAGCCTGTCAGAGACCACTCCCCTGATGCGGTCACCTCGAGTGGCTGGGTGCTTATAAACACCCCTGGGCTCTGGCACCCGTTCTCCTCTGCTCCCTCCCTGTTGTTTGGAGGTGTAGGGTCCCCCACAGACACGTGGCGGATGCTTGGCCCCAGTGCAGCAGTTTCAAAGTCAGAGGCGATGGGGTCATGAGGACTCGCACTGCATCAGCAGGTTAACCCACCGACGAGTCATAGCTAAATGAACCGTTAGTTGGAGGAAGCAGGTCAGCAGGGCCATGCTGTGGTCTCTTGTGCCTGGTCCCTTATTCTCTTGCTGCTTCCTGGCCACCATGAGGTAAGCAGCCTCCTCTGCCATCTTCTGCCTTGCTTGAAGCCGGGGAGCAGCCAACCTTTGACTGAAACTGAGGCAAAATCAACTTTTCTTCCTTCAGTTGACTTCTCTCAGGTATTTTGTCACAGTGACGGGAAGCTGACTAACTCATTCCCCTTTGCTGAATGGCTGCTCACGCTTCTGGGACCTGTGCTGCTGATTGCACCACTTTCTCATACAGCCCACTCCCAGGGACTGCAGGATGGGGATCAGGCCTTCTTCCACAACACCACAGTGTGGCTGCAGCAGCTGAGCCCCATGGATGCCTTGAGGACCTGGACCTCCCCTGCTTCCTAGAACAGCCGTGGGCAGGTCAGGCTCTGTGTTCCCTCAGCTGCAGAAAGTCCCAGCCTGCCAGTCTAGGGTCCCAATGCTAGTGCAGAGGCCAGAATTGGGTCTCCCTTTCCTCCCCACTCCACAGTCATGGGGAGCTCATCAGATCAGTTTGGAAGCTGAGAATTCTACCCCACTCCACTCCGGGATCCCACTCCTCAGATCTGTCCCCTTGATCCATGTCCCTGTCTATGGAATAGCAATAGCTTTGTTGCTTAACCTACCCTCTGATGTCCAGAGAGGTGGGCATGCACACTGGGACTCCAGTGGGCAGTGTGGATGGGGTCCTGAGGCTGCTGCCTCAGCAGCATTGTGGGCTCCATTGTTTGTGGTGATGGTGGTGGCGATAGTGGTGACAGCTGTGGCCCAGCTTGTCCAGGAGCCCGTCCTGAGCACCCACGTTCACCAAAGAGGCACAGCCGAGCGGGCTGCCTGTTGGGGCTCTGTGTGTCTCCTGTCTATCACTGGTGGGCCAGGCTGAGCCTTTGTTAAACACCTTCTGTACCACTCACCAGAAACCAGGCTTCTCTGGACCCAAGAGTGCCCACCTGCCCTGCCGGATGCCCTGTGACCCTGCTGCCCGTTGCCGGGGTTCTGGCGGGGCCAAGGAAAGCAGTCATTGCATCCTATAGCCCTTTGGCCCTGGAGAAAGCAAGACCTTTGGCTCATCCCCACTGTCCCCCTGCTGCCGGGCATGCAGGCCAGGCACCGAGCCTGCAGCTGGTCCCCAGCTGGGTCCTGGCCCTGAGGCTGTCTTTGTGCCCACACAAGGGAGACCCAGTTCCTCCCCTGCTCCTTGACCCTGCATCCTGTGTCCACACAGGCACAGCCCCTGGTGGGGGGAGCACTGGTACCAGCTGCCCCACAGGGGCCAGTTCACCTCAGTGGCCTTTGCCTTCTCAGATGTTTCAGAGGGTAGCAGGGAGAGCTGCCTATTGCCAGGCATTAAGTGAGCTAATGAAGGCTCCTGGTCCCCCAACCTGGCCACATTCACACCTCCCCTGCTCAGAAACTCCCATCCACCACTCCTTTGGCCATACCAGCTATTAATGTGCTGGAGCCCTGGAGCAGGTTTTTGCCTTTGCTAGCACAGCTGGGGCCATGTACACAGCAGGCAGTTAATATATATCTGCTTGGGACCAGGCCCAGAAAGAGAGCTTATTTCCAGGACTCTGGAGGGGACCTGGAGTCCAGGAAGACTTGGGACAAGGTGGCCAGTGGGTTCAGGGCACAGTTTGGGGACACATGTCCTACAACCCAGCAGCTAGGCCCTCATCATATAGTCCTAGCAGGAAAGGTGTGGGCAGCCTTCACTAGGATCCAAGTCCCAGACCTCCTTCTCAGGCAGCTTCCCTGGGATAGGGGACAAAATGGAATAGGGCAAGGACTTTGTTGTCCACACTGGCATGAACCCAGCCCACCCAGGTGCTATGGGGCCTGCTTTACCCAGGGTCCAAGAGTGATGAGCAGACCCTGAACCCTGGCCAGGATCCTGGAATCAGAGTTGATTTCCATGCCCTTTGTGGCCTGGCATGGTGCTGGGGCCCTCAGAACAGCCCTCCCTGCAAGCTGCAGCCCCATGGGAAAGCCCAGGGTTCATGGCACCTCCTCTTAGAGTCTGTGCTGTGTGTACATTGAGAAAACCAAAGCAGCTGGGCTGTGCTGACCTGAACCTGAGGGCACCTTTGCTGCAGACCCCAGGCTCCTCTTCAACATGAGCGTAAGCAGCTGTCAGTCTGGAGAAGTGGGCAATCCTGAGCCTCACGCCTAGGGTGGGTTTCAGGCCAGTTGTTATAGCAGAGGGTGGGAGAAAGGAGGAAAGGACATGAGGGCATGGTATGGCCATATTTAATTCAACTTCAAGTGAATTCTGAAGGGCTCCTCTTGCTCCACAGAGTGAGGTCCCCTGCAGCCAGTCACATCTGTTCATGGATGGGCTGGATGGATACCTTCTCCAGCCCAAGATGGATCAAGGGCCTGGGCTCTCTGCAACACCAGTGCCCAGAACAAGACCCGGGGCCAGAGACAGGGCATGGTACCCACAGAGGAGGAAGAGGAATGGGGGAGGTGGGAGGCCCTTGGGTCCAGGTGGTACCAAAAGCCCTAGGGGCAACAGTTGACAGAGGAGCCCTGTGAGAACCCAAATAGAAACAAGCCCCAGTCCCTTTCAGTCCCTTCCAGCCCCTTTCCCGAGGCCCTGCTGAGCCCTAAGCTGTTTTCGAAGACATGAGAATGCGTTTCCATCACCACCAGATAAAAACAAAAAACAAACCACAGGCATCTTAAGGTTTCATCTTTCAATTGTTTAAAATTATCAGTGCAAAGTGAGGTAATGCGCTCTGAATCACTGGGCCGAGGTGGCAGGCAGCCCTCACACAAGCCTGCGTCTTTTGGAGTCCCTCCCCATGTCGCCCTCCTCTGGGTCCACCTCACAGCCCAGTGGGGACACCAGGTTCAGCAGGGGGTCCTCAGAGGCACGGCCGAAGAGTGCCAGCAGGAGGGCCACACCAAAGCCCGTAGCTCGCTCACCCTGTGGGCAGAGGAGGTAGAAACCCTGAGCCCATGGGGCATCTCTGTAAGGAAGAGGTTTGCTGGGTGCCCCCAAAGGACCCCCCAAGCACATTGAGGCAAGGGATCCCTGAGCAAAAGCCAGAATCTTGGCCTTCTTGTGGCTGCCCTACCAACCCCAGAGTTGACAAATGGAGATGGGTAATGGGTACCCCATGTGCTCTGGCCTAATCCCAGATCTCCTCAGAGTGGGGAGGCTCAGAGTGGGGGTCCTGGGCTTCCTGCTAAGCATGGGTTGACTGGGAATGACTACACTGCAGCCACTCTTGTTCCCAGGATGGAGAGAGACCAGAGGTCAGGGGACAACAGCTGGATGGAGGCTGGACCATGGACAATGTGACCCATAAGGCAGAATGTTTCTGATGAGCTCAGGCAGCAGCTCTGGAGCTGGAGGGGCTCTGTATGGATGAGAGAGAGGAACCAGTCCAGGCCAGGAGAAGGGGACAGGTGGGGAAGTGTCTGAGTGGGACAGGATGCCAGAAGTGGGTGTCTAGGCACTCACAGCATGCACAGGTGCAGCAATGTCCAGGTGGACCCAGACCCCGGGCCAGTCAAAGCCGATGTGGGAGGCAATGAAGAGGCCAGCACAGGAGCTGGGGCTGTTATCTCGGTCCTGAGGAGGCCAGGACACATGGTGACCTCCTACTCCCAGCAGTGGGAGGGGCCCAGGGAGGTTTCCAGGTGCCTTCCATTACTCCTGCCCTGTCCTCATCCCTTAGCCACAGCCTCCCAGGGATCTGCAAGCCATCCCAGATGGATGGAGAGACCTGGTGTAGGGGAGGCTGAAGCCTGGTCAGAAAGACTCTGAACATGGGCAAGGAGACAGCCTTACCCACCAGGACAAGGGAGCACCAGCAAACAGGCTGGTGGGGCAACTGAGCTAGACCCTCCTGTGGAGAGGACAGCCCCTAGCTGTGAATCCCTGGATGCCTCCTTGACGTCCTCTTCTGGACACACATCTGCAGTCCGACCTCCACATGGGGGTCCCACCTGCACCTCTGCTTTCTTGGGGACATCTGCTTCCTGAAGGTAGGGCTCTACACACCTGTGGGACAGGCCTGCTCTCCCCACCCTGCCCTGGTCCCAAACCTACCGCTACTGAGTTCTTCATGTCAGCCACAGCTGAGGTGAACTCACTGAAGTGCAGCTCGGGGCAGTAGACAAGTGGGTGCACCAGGTCCCCGCACTGCCGGCCAGCCTTCACACAGGCTGCCTCCCACTCAGCGCTGTTGGTGAGCACAGCAGCATGGTACTTTCCTGTAGCAATGCCCTGGGCCAGAGGCACAGAGGAAGCATCCAGAACAGGGAGGGCAAGACAGAAACACAAAAGACAGAAGATGGGCAGAGAGCAGACAGAAAAACAAGCCAGGAGTGAGGCAATGAGAAACAAATTAGAGAAAGGAAGGAGGAACAAAGAACCATGAATATCAAGTGCTCTTCCTGCACCCGCACAGACGTGAGGACACAGTTCCTTGCCTCCTCAGTGGCAGCTGTATTTAGTGACAACTAAATACCCCCTACTTGTCTTCCCCACCTAGGACCGGGGTATTTAGGATCCTGGAGCTGCAGCCAGGCGGAGTGTGGTGGCGCCCACCTGAGCCCCTGTCAGCGTGGCCATATCTAGGATGATGTCAGCTCCCAAGTCTTTGCAGGCATAGGACACGCCATCTGCCAGCACCAGCCTGCCCTCGGCGTCTGTGTTGTTGATTTCCACAGTCCTGGAGCACAGTAGAGACCCCAGCTCAGGGCTGCAGCTCCCTGAGTGACCCCTTCGGGAGATTACACTCAGAGCCACCGTCCCTGTAGCTCTCTCACCCCCAACATACATCCCCTCTCCAAGAGGCCAGGCATTGCAGGATGGAATCCTCCCCCATCCTAGGCTAGGCTTGGGGCTAACCCAGCCTAACCCTGGAGAAGAGGCCTCAGGATCAAGCACAGGGGCAGCGTGCCAAGAGAGGAGGGAAGGGAGAGGGCTGGCCTTACTTTCCTGAGTACAGCAGGTGGATGTCATCGGGCCGCGTGGCACTGGGCCCCACTGCGTTCTCAGCCAAGCAGAACACAGCATGGAGGTTGTCTTTGAAACCCTTAGGGAAAAGCAGATGGTGGCTCTAGTTATAGGCTAGAGGCTCAGGAGGGGGAAGGGTGAGCAGGAGCTCTCAGACCCACACAGCAGGAGACAAAGAAGCCCCCAGGTGCGGAGATCAGAGCTCAGCCCTGGAGGTGCAATGTTAGGAGCTCCCCACCATCCAGGACATAGTTCTGGAAGCTTCTGAGCTAAAGCCCCCTCTCCCCCCAACAGAGCCCACACCATACAGTGGATGCACCCCAAGTTAGCAGTGCTGTTGTCACCTGCTGCTTGAGCAGGGGAGGTCCCACAGATATGCAGAATCCTGCAGATGTGCTCAGGGACACCTGGCTAGGGAGGGCCCACCAGGTGTCTCCACTGCAAAGTTGCTGGAGGTGGCTTGTGTGGATGCACTGTGGCTGTCTAACTGTCCTGTTCCCCTGTTACTTCCACTCTCCAACTTCAACTTCTGCTGACTGTTCTTACTTGAGACAATTACTACTGTGGTGTCAGCCAAATGGTGACTTTCTAGTCCATTCTTCCTCCTACAATTAGTAATCGGATATCCACTGTAGGAAACAGCCCCCCATGCATTCATTCCGAGGTCCTGGATGGTGGAATCTTTGTCTACAATAGGGTGGCTTCAGCACCCTTCAGGCCACTGGCCACAGGGAGGTGGACACGCCTCATGGCCACCAGCTGATGCACCAAATCAGCTGCCAATTGGCCTCCTGAGAAGAGGGAGTTGGAGCCTAGAAGAGTCTATCTGCTGGGCATGTCCCAGGCACCAGGACACATCCCCTACTGAGCAATAACCAGGGGTGAAAGGCACGTGACTCTCTCAACTTGCCCATGTGCCCCTGCTAAGCAGTGGCTGCTCCCATCAGAGAACTGACAGCCAGACCCACTCTCTGAGCATTGGCTACCAGAGAAGTGAAGCCTGGCTGAGCCAGTGGGGCACTGCAGAGGAGGGCAAACAGAAGAGGACCAGGTGTCAGGAGCCTGGTGCTGACCACCCACAGCCCGGCTGGCGGAGCTCAGCCAGTGAGTGCCTTATCAAATGCTGGCTGTGTCCCCTTGTTAATCTCCAGCCAGAGAGGGGAGGAGAGTGCAGACTGCACGTGCTCCATACCGTGCTCCCCCCAGGGCTCTGCAGTGGCTGTCCCACAGCCACCTGGGCTCTGCCTGAGCACAGCACTCAGCTGCCATGCCAGCCCTACAAGACCCTTTCCACGTGTGGTACAGCAGGGCATTATTAATGTATGCTAATTCAAAAATATAATAAAACTATTTAAAAAAAAAAAAAAGCCAGCCTGGCTGAGGGGCTCCAGGCTCTGCCAGCCCCAAGCACCTCCAGTGTTCCTCAGCCCAGCAGTGTGGGAGGCACACGGCAAAACAGGAAGTCCCAGCAGGCAGAACCCCATCTCCTGGGACTTCTTCCCTCCCACAGGTGGGACACCTGGCCAGTGTGAACTGCGTACTATTACCCTGAAGAATCAGAATCCAAAGGCAGCCTGGGGTTACCTATGGGGTGACACTAAGGGTCCAGCCTCTAAAACGCTGGCCTGGAAAAGCCACACTAAGGAGCTTATGCTACACTGGCCTGTTGGTGGCCACTCTTCACTTGGTTAATAAGCTTTTTTAGTGCTCTGGGACCTCTGGGCTTTGTGAGATGCCACCCAGCCCTCTGAGTGGTCATAGACGCTGAACAAGGATTAAGCTGTGGGGCTTCTGCTGAGGCAAGTGAGAAAAGAGTCATAATGGGGCACAGAGACTGACCTTGGGGGCTGGGGAGAAGCCTGAACTTGGGGGGGATGGGAGTCAGCCCTGGTGACTCAATTCCTAGAGGAATTGTGGTATTCAGAGAACCATGGGAGGAATGCTCAGAACATGTGCACTGAGCTCCATCTCTGGCCCATCTGAGCGTACACCTGTCACCACATGGTTTGGGCAGTCTTCCTTACTGAACACGCATGGAGCACCCAATCCTTGCCAGTCCCTGATTGGTGGGCACAGGAAGATCTGCCCTTGGGGTGACATACTCAGGAAGAGATGAGGCCGGTCCAGAGCAGGCAGGAAGCTCTGGGGGCCCGTGAAGGACATGAATGCAGAGAAGGGACAGGCCTAGCTGTGCAGACTTGAAAGGCAGACTGAGGGAGGTCCATGTGATCCCAAGAAACACCTGTTCGCGCCAGAGAGACACCTCTCCTTTGACATCTGTCTGTGCCAAATCTCCATCCTCTGGCAATAAAAAGCTATAAAACCCTATTTCCAACCTGACCCAGGGGACCTCCAGTTGCCAGGTCCCACTGTTTGACCCCACGTGGCCTTTCCTATCTCTTCTCTGCAAATAAAACTTTTCTGACCTTTGCTGCTTGAGTCCACCTCTGATTTCTATCCAAGAGGACCCATGGACCCTTGCCACCACCCGAGCTTCCCAGTGCCTCAGACCCAGGAAGGACTGGATTGTGGAAAGAAGGGCAGGGCAGAGCCAATGGGAGATAGCCCAAGATGAGACCTGCAGGGGATGGGGGCTCACTCACCTGCTTGATGGCAGCTCTGAAGGCCCCCAGAATGGCTGCAGCACCTCCGCAGTCACGCTTCATTCCCGGCATGGTGGTCTGCAGCAGTACAAAGGGACCACAAGAGAGGGTGAGCTACATGGAGCTGGCTGGCAGCAGCTCCTCTTGCCCAGACCTGCACAGCACCCCAGGACCCCACCTCCCACAGAGCTCATGCCAGGCCATCTGAGCACCCACGCACACGAACACGAAGAAACTAGGATCCCCAAAGAGTGGGGACCCCCTTCACCTAGTAGAGCTTTATGGCCGCCAGGCAGTAAATATTTGGTGGTGGGTCAACAAGCTAACCAGTGCCATTGGATTTGCCGCGGCCAGCCTCTCACGTGCATACAGGCACCTCAAACTCTGAACCTTTGACCCTAAGTCATGCAGCTCCCATAACAGCTTGCGGTCCACCTGCAGGGCCTCTCTATCCACATCTCTGCCCACACTGTGAGGAAGAAACCAAGGTGCAGGAAGCACGTAAAACTTGCTTGGGGTTAGTGGGCAAGCATCTCGAGGGTCTTTGACATCAGAACTAGGAGTCCCTCCTGGGACATGGATCACTGGAGGTGATGTATTTGCCAATGTCACAGGTCCCTGCTGTGCTTATGGTAGGGAAGAAGCGCTAGTTCCCTGCCCCCTCAGCACAGCACAGCAGCCCACGTGTGCTCAGCTCTGGCTCCCTGCTGGAGTCGGGCACACGGCAGACTGATTGCCTCCTTTTGGACTCCCCACCTCCAGCTCGGGGTGCAGGCTGCTCAGCATTCTGTCCACTTGTCCTGCCGAGCAGGAACCCAGGTCCCCACCCCTGCTGTGGCCTCCTGACCTTCCAGTCCTTGCCACACATCCAGACTCATCTTGCCTGCTGTAGCACCTTCTTGAAGTCATCTCCCCTTGGCTGTCTGCCCTACTACTCACCCCTTCTTGGTGCTTCTCTGGGTGGGCCTAGCTCTGTGCCCCTCCCAACTTTTCTCAGGTTCTCACCTGGCTGTAACAACATACCCGGGACACCCTTCAGTCACCCCTGGTCACCCTTATCATCCTACCACCAGAAGAATGGGTCCTCTCTGGCCTCCTGTGTTCAGATCACAGCTCCTGGTTAAGACGGGTCTGAGGAAAGGCACTCCCAACCCCCGTCACCTATGTAAATGTTACCTTCTATAAACTCGTTGAGAATGGCTATTCATTTTTAACATTTTATAGGTCTCCAACGCTAATTGACAAGTTCATATTTTAAATTAACAACAGGTCCTCAGACGTAAGAATTTGGGCTTGTATGGAGTGATTTTTGAACCTTATTATATTACATGAGCCTTGAATTTTAGTGGAAAGTATTTTTAGATATAAACTGAGCTGCTTTTATAATTAAGTCGAGTGAAAACAATCCAGCTAGCACTACTGAAAATAAGCCATCTTTCTGACCTAATCGGACAGAAAGCACAAGATTGTTTAACGGAAAAATGGGGCCTCAAGCTTGGCATCAAACCATTTCAAAATGGCCCTTACAGAAAATGTCTCCTGACAGCTGTTCATGGAACACTGTGTTCCCTTGTCACAGGTGCCACCTCACTCCCAATCACAGGAGAAAAAGGCCAAGCTTGCAAATGTAGCTCAATTAATTGCATAAGGTTTCACCAACCCCTGTACGTGGCTTCTGTTTTTATAAAGCAAAAGGTTTTCATGGTGACACAAAGATGTCATCTGCCTTTTTCACTGGGTTGACAATTGTACTGGATAGTACAAAAGCCAAGGTTGGTGAAAGTGCTGGAACTCTTCACAATGGAGGCTGTGTCCCCAAAGTGAACTTGAAGTTACTGGTTTCCTGCCCATGTCCTCTGGGACAATAAAGCAATGCCACTGAAGAAGTCCTTTGCTGAAGCACTAACGTTAAGCTTTACAGCCTTAACCTCTGGTACAAGCCATTGCCACTATTCTGTATGACACCCTGGCCACCTCTGCGGGGGTGACAGTCAGAGCAGAGGCTCAGGCACAAAAGACAAGTGAAGGTGTCCAGACTGAGGGGTCTGCCGACAAACAAGATATGTCCCTCACTTCCTGAAAACAGCCTCAGCAACTGGTCACCAGCAGCAGCCCAGGAGTGCCAAGCACACAGAGGAACTTTGGGTAACTTGCACGCACCACCCTGACACCCACCTCACACCCAAGGGCTTTTCTGATGAGCTAATGATGACATGGAGGAGTGTAAGTTTTTGATTTCTATAAGGAGTTTCTGCATACCTCTGTGACCAGTATTCTCCACAACACACACATGGCATCACAGTCATAGGGCCAAAACTCAAGACAGAAGTTCACTAATGTAGCTTCAGACTCCACATTATAACCAACCTTTAAAAATATCACTTGTCAAGTTTTGGTGGAATAGCAAAGAATGCCCATGGTTATCTGGAAAAGGTAGTAAAATACTTCTTCCTATTCCTACCAGAAAATGTGAGGCAACACGTTTATGTAACAACATTACAACAGACTGTGTCTTCTATTAAGCAGACACTGAAGAAATGTGCAAGAATTGGACAATGGTGTTGCTGTTTCTAACTTCTTTTCATTTTGGAAAAAAATGGTTATTTTTGTAAAAGTATACTATTTATGTTGACATAACAGATCTGTATTCTTTTTCAAATGAATTATAAATATCTTTTACACTTCTCAATTTTCATTTCCAGTACAGTAAATAGCAGTAGCTATCACCATTATAAACAGAATCATTTTAGATTGGTATTTTTTAAGAGTGTAAAAGGGTCCTGGAAGGTAGTATAGAAAGAGGATGGGGAGAAAGAAGAATAGTGTAAAGAGGTCCCAAGCAAAGTCCAAGACCTGCTAGGCCACTGAGCAAATTGCCTTTTCGGTCTTTGCAGACAAGGCTACGACAGTCCTTGCAAAATTGGTAGCTTTGCTGGCAATACCCTGCTTGTTTTTTGAGAAGTCACAATTTCCACTCCACTTGCTCTTGAGGTGTCCATTTGGGCGAATGCTTGCTGTGTTGAGTTTCATGCACTGTCCCTAGCAGTGAGGTACAGACTGGGATCTTTCTGTCAACTGCTGGAGCCTCTCTGCCCAGCCCCAGGTGCGGTGCCCACCGACACTCAGGAAAAACCCTGGTCACTGTGAATCGATGCCAAACAGATCCAAGTGCCGAACAAGCTGAAGGCAGGTAGGCTGGTAATAACTGGCTGGTACCCAGACTCTGGTTGTTCCATTTGTAAGTTTGTAGGCCAGCTGACTCCAGGAGGAGGCTGGGACTGTTTCATTTTTGGAGGATGGCCTGGAACTACAGAAGATGCCACACTCTGATGGTTCTTCCAACTACCCCCGGGCCATAGCCTCCCTGAAGCTACACACTGGAGGCCAAATAGGCCCAAGTGATGGAAGTTAGAAGGACCAGTGCCCAGAAAGTCCTGTTTCTCACTCTGGCCCTCTCACAAGCCAACATCAAGTGCTAGCAAGTATCTGATCCTAATTGAAGAGCACAGCTGCCTCAAGGCTAGACCCACCAGCACAGGGCAGACACCACTACCAGGTGAACGGAATAGGGGGCGAACAGCCTGTGGGAATTTAAAAATACTAACAAAGCAGCTAAAAGTCAGTCCATTTGTTATTGTCACCGCACACTGGTGTCTACACAATGTTAGTGATCAAATATTCCTCCCCTCAAAACTCTTGTTGGTTGAAGCTTAAGTAATTGCTGAATTAAATAATTTTAACCATATAAATAGAAGCTTCAGGTTCATCTATCTTTATTATTTATCCTTTAAGCAACATTCTCCCTTGTAGATGTGAGTAACCGCCAGCTACAGAGTTAGCCCTGGCATGGATTCAGCCAGCCAGGGCCACTTGAGAATGGTTCAACAGGGCGAACGGCTGGGCCAGCTCTGCTGAGATGGAGCCCCTGGTACTGTGGTGTTCCAACTCCCCCCACTGAACTGGTGGCCTCAAAAGAGAGCACGAGTGCACAGTGACAGCAAAAACACAGATGTGGAACCTGTGTGAGCCCCTGGATGTGGTATTTAAGATGTTTTTAACCCACAGACTTTTGAAAGCTCTTAGAATGGGTCCTAGAGATCTGAGCACATGGCCGGCCAATGAAAGTTCTGGAATGTACCATGAAATGAGGTTTTCAGGAGCCTCTGCCAAGCAGTTCTATATGAAAGACTTCCTGTGTGTCTCTGCCTATCAGTTGCTTTGTGTGGCAGAAACTCCCCACAGTTAAATTACAGTATCCTCAGAACAGCTGGGAGTGGGGACAGAAAGACAACCCTGGCTCCTCTGTCAGTGGAGCACAGATGAGTGGAGAAGGTTAATTTGAGGATCAAGTCTGTACCAGCCGAGGCCCTGACACAGACTTCAATACCACAGTTCACAGCTACAGATGGAGATGGAGGCTTACTTTTTATCTATTAAAAAATACATTGATAATATTTGAAGTGTTAACACATTGCTATTTTCTTTGTTTGTACTGGAATATTTATTTTCAAATTTTTTGCAGGCATGGTAATAGGTATGGAATTCAATAAAAGAGAATGCTCACTGTTAGTGGGGTTATTTTTAAACTTGTATTATTAGTTTCATTTCCTGAAATAATTTTGTTGCTTAGAAGAGAAAAGATGTTGAAGGATGATCACCCACTCCTGGTATTACTCTGAGTACTCAGGAAGTGCAAAACACAACAGCATAGGCCCCTCTCTGCCCTAAATTGGGACTCCATGTCTGGGAGGCAACAGGGAGTGGTGGGGCCTGTGGCAAGCTGAAGAATAGAGGCTCTGCTCACAGACAGCCACCACTCACAACAACCAGGTGAGAAGCTAGTGCCAGTGTGGCCAGATTTTCTGAGACTACAAAGGACCAGAAATCCAATATTTTATGAGAATTCTTCCTGTTTTTAAATGTTGATAACTAATTCAAATTGTTAAGATGCCATTTAGGCCAGCAGGAAATACGTGTGAGTTACACGGGCTGCAGTCAGTGTCCAGTGTTTGCTCTGGACACACTTAACTTGCCATTCCTGCCAAAGTCTCTCTTCTCCTCTTCCTCTGGATCTTGTGGACCACTCCCTCCCAGTCCTTGAGGGCCAACCAGGCTGCTCTGCACAGGTGTGAGGGCTAATGAAGGCCTGTGTGAGGTGTGAAGGCGGCAGGTGCAGTCACATGGGACACTTCCCAGGTCCCCTCCTCTAGAGAAGCCACCAGCCCCACACCACCAGGGGCCTCCTAGTGACGCCCCAGGTAACTTCCTTGCTCTTGTGGGGCCCTGTGTCAGAAGAGCCTGTTCTAATCACTCAGCATGCAAGCCTCCGGCAGACTCAGAGACGGTGTACATCGCCCTAATTCTTGAACCTCGTGTCCCTGGGCTCTGTTTTCCATCGCTTTAATTTGTTTCTGTGGCTTCTCTCTAGGCCCTAACCAGATTTTTTCAGTTCCTGACTCTTGTTTGAAGTGTGGGCCCAGAATCCAGGTGTCCCACACAAAATCATGCCTTTCGGAATGAGAAAAGGCACAGAAGACTCCCTGAACTACCCAACTCAGAGCTCTGGAAACTTCCTGCCTCACGGCCACCCTTGTCCCCCAGAACCTACAGCTCACCTTTCCTTTGATACTGAGGCCCCCGGTGTCGTACACGATGCCCTTGCCCACCCAGGCAATGGTCTGTGTGGCACTGTCAGGTGTGTGGCTGAGGACGGCCAGAGCTGGAGGGTGGAGGGCAGCCTTCCCGACCCCGTAGATTCCTGTGTGGAGGGGGGAGTTTTGAGGCACAGGTTATACCAGCAGAGACTCCCAGGGACCCTGGAAAACCCACCCAGGTGCTGGCTGGCCCAAATTTCTCCCAGAAAGACATGCTACCCCAACCCTAGCTACCCACCTGCCCCCCCCAACCTCTCCTGCTCCTGGCCAGCGTGGGATGGGGAATGGAAATTAGTTCCAACTTCTGAGACTGCAAACAATCCTGTGCAAAGTATTGTTAGGCAAGAAAACCCACTGAGGGAAAAAATATTTATCATGTCCAGAAGGAAAAGAACAGGATTGCAGAATGAAATGAGTTTTGGATGATGCTTCAAGGCTGCTCCCGCCCACACTTGTCCCCTTCTGCCCTGAGCCCTCTTGCACGCACAGCTTGCACGCCCTTCCCCAGCCCGCTCTTATGGCCTCTGCACCACTGCGTTGCTCTCTCTCTGCTCACATGCCCCATCTTCCTGAGCAAAGAGTGGCCTGCTTCAGGGCAGAGGCCATGCATCACTGTCCATCACTGAGCAGTGATGGACAGTGACAGCAAGCATGACAAGAACTAATAATGGTGGCCTGACAAACTCCTACTTATCCTGTGGGACCCGCTGAGAAACTCTGCCCAACACAAGTGGACTCTGTTTCCACCGTCACTGGCTTATGTGTCTGTGGTGGGCAGTGACCCCACCCTCCACTGGCTATGCGATCCCTGTGCAGTCCCCTCCCCCTCAGTGGGGGTAGGGCCTAGTGGCTAACCACAGAAAGCCCAGCAGAAGAGACGAGGTACTTCTACTGAGACTAGGTTCCAAGGAAAGACGGTCACTCCCATCTTGCTTGGTCACATTTTCCCACTCTCTACAGACCTCCCCCTGCGAGCAGCCAGCTGCCACGCTGTGAGGTGACCTGTGGAGAAGCCCTCATGGTGAGAACTGTGGTCTCCAGCCAGCAGTTCGCGGGCGCCCCTTGTTGGAAGCAGATGGTGACTCCAGGCAAGCCTGCAGATGGCTCCAGCCCCAGTCACCACCCGTGGCTATAGTGGTGAGAGACCCCAAGCTACCCAAGCAGCAGAGGTATGCTGCTGCAGTGGCCAGTTGTCTTGGGGCTGGCTTGTCTAAGAGCCACAGTTGACCACACCATCCCCATGTCAGTCTGGGAGCACCTCCAGGCAGCCTAGTGATGGTTCTCTTTCCCTCCAGGTCCCTGGCAGTGGAAGAGGACTGACCCGAGCGATCAGGGAAGGAGATAATACCTGAGCTGGGACACCTAGGACAAAACGGCCTCTACCAAGTGAATGTGGTGGGGAGTATTGCAGGTGGCGAGAGTCACCCATTCTTGTATATTCGAGGAACAGAGAGCCCTTGCACTAGCCCAGGAGTGGGGTCTATAGGCTGTGAGGAGGCTGCAGGCGTGGGAAACACATGGGTCCAGCGGCTTCCAGAATCAGCATCAGAACCTGGATAGCTACTCCTCCCTCCCCCAGGGAGTCTGCTTCCCAGGCTCTCGTCTTGGGCTGGGACACAGGTTGACTCCTTTCAGGTCACAAGCAGGATGAAGTCCGGGACACCATGCCACGTGCCCCACTGACCCCCTCCACCTCGGTACCCCTGGCCATTTCCCAAGGACCAAGTGCCATGGGCTTTCAGCCCTACCCACCTCCAAATCCTCTTGTCTTCAGTTCCTCATCTCGGATGATGGTTGGGGCAAGTCCCAGCTCTTTTCCAACTTTACTAATCTCCTGGACATGTTCATGGAAAAAACAACATGAGGCACGTGAAGAAGGCCGGGCTCGAGGCCAGCGATGAACCATTGCCTGTGTGGCGGGAAAGGAGCCCGCCTTGGAGGCCAGTGGCTGTGCCTCTCGTGATTAAGCCCAGAGGAGAAAGCTCACTCTTCACTTAGCTTCCTGTAGCATATGGCTGCAATCCTGTGACGGGGCCTCACTGAGGCCCTGTCCTCCCCACTCCCTTTACTGAGGCTGCCCGGCCTGCTGGAGTGGGGTATACCACACAACCTCATGAAAGCAGCCCCAGGGATCAGCAGATTAGAGCATGGACAGCCCCCAGGCTTCTTCTGGCTCTGCTTGGGGTCTAGACAAACCCCCCACCCCAGCTCTTTCTCTCCTGACATGACTGAGCCACCAACCTCCAGAAAGATGTCTGTGTCCATCTCATTGCAGGGTGTGTCCACAATGCGAGCAGCCAGCCGCACACCTTCTGTGGCATTTGTTAAGCACTAGAAAAACCAAGAGATCACCTCTGGGACCCCCTTCCTCACCCATTTCCCCAGAGACCCACTTGAATCCTGGGGAGGCTGTGGGGCTGCTCACAGGACATCAAGGGGGCAGGTGGGAGGCAGAAGCTATTGGGATCCTCCCACACATGGCCCCTGGGTGCTGCAGAGGTGCTTTTCTTCATGAGGCCCACGTGAGAGCACTGGGGTCTCTTTGCCCTGTCTTCCTTGTCACTGGACAGTTTGCTCTGGGCACAGCTGTGGAGAGGAGGAACAGGTGGGGCCCGATCTCAGGGGTTCATGTTACTTGGTACCCAGGAGGGAGCAGGAACCCAGGAACGTGGACCACAGCAGTGTCAAGAGGTTTCAACCCCAGCTCTGGGGAAGACAGCTCAGAGAGCTGCCTAAACAGATGTCTAAGTCCTGCTCCAACCTGGCTGCAAGGCCTCTGCCTATCCACTTTCTCTGCCCTCAGGGCCTTGCTCCCAGCTGACTAGAGGGCTCCCGCCCCATCTCAGTCCCCACCACCCACCCCAAGCCTCAGAAAACCCAGAGAGTTGACTGCGTCAGCACCTCCGCACTGGCCAGAAGAAGCGGATATTGAGTGCATAGCAACTAGGGCCCGCGGGGGTGCAGGGCAGCAGCACCAAGTTCATCATTGTGTCCCCAGCCTGTATGTCGGGAGGGCAGGTGCAGGTCGATTCCGCCAGCCCGGCCTCCGCCCCCGCTGTCTGATTGTTGCTAGAGCCACTGCCTGTCCCAGGTAATTAAACCCCAAAGCCTCCAAGGTAGGGACCTGGGACCTGACAGCTCAGATATGAGATGTGCTTGTGCTGCCCTGCCGCCTGTCAGCGCCTCGCACGTCCTGTCTGGGACACACGTCAGAGCAGGAAGACGGGCCTCAAGGGAGGCAGGAGTGACCTGGCAGACCCCAGCAAGCTTGGCGCTCTAGAGAAGAAAGCAGCAAACACAAAGAATACAGGCCTCAGTTTGAGTGTCAGGAGATGAGGGTCATTCATGCATCCTCTCTGCCTATGTTTATGTGAGGACCTATTGTGTGCCAGGCACCTGCTAGACTCAGAATCCAAAGCTATCCAAGGGTCCAAGGCCAGCAGAACGACCACATGCCAATCCATTAAAGCTGCAGAGAGGAGAACGGGAGGCCGAAGAACTAACAGCACCAGGGCCCTGGGTGGGGGGAAATGGCTGAGTAAAGGTCACATGAGGTATGAGGCCCTGAAGGAGTCTGGCAAGTCAAGGGATAGCAGGAACTGTGCCTGGGCAGGAGGCAAGTGTAGTAAGGAGGGGAAGGGGAATAAGCAGGAAGGGGAGGACAGGGAGGGTGGACTTGAGGGTAATGTCAGGCTTCCAGCCTGGGATGTGGCAAAAGGGGGGCTCAGAGCTCAGGAGGAACTTCCTAGAGACAGTAAGGAGCTGTCATCGGTGTCTGACTGCCAAATGGGGCCCAGAGGTGGTTGAAACTACCCAGAATGGGGAGTGTGAGGCCAGAGGCCACTAAGAGATGCAAGAGGCAGTAGCCAGGCTAGGGAAAAGGGCAGCCTGGCTTTTGGCCCAGCTGGTGTGCTTCAAGGAGGGATGGCTACACTCCTGTCCAGTCGGCATGCAGGCCCATCAGAAAGGGGCAAAAATTAGGTTTTGGTGGGGAAAGGAGCAAAGCAATTAGACCATGTTATTTAAATGTTTGGCAATGAAGGAACAAGAGAGATGACAGATGAATGCATGTTTCCTCGTTCTAATCTGGTCAAGGAGACAGAAGACAAAGCCTTGAGGGCTGACGGCAACAGACCTTCCTGAGACAGAAATGGAGGGTGAGCTCTGAAGCAAGAGGAGGACCAAGCTGTGTGGCTGTTGGGTGGAGGTGGTGGGCGAGGCCACAGCAGTGGAGTCAGGAAAGGCCACATGGGAAGGAAGCCTGGTGTCAGGCCCCTACTCGAACTCAGAGATTAGAAATCAACTCTACTCTTGACTGCCTGCAAAGGATTATTCTTAGGCTCAAATGAAATAACATATGTAGAAGTGCTCCAGAAAGGGTGATGCAACACACACAACAGGATTTGATATTAAAACACCTGCCACTGGACAGGTGCTTGATAAACACTAACCCGACAGGACAGGATGGTAAAAACAAAGCCCACCCAGCAGAAAGAGGCCTGCCACCCTCTCAGGGCTCCTGGGTTACACAGTCTATCCTCCAGACACCCACTTGCAACGTGGACACTTCCACTGGGCCGTTGTCCTGTCCCACCAGGAAGAACTCCACAGTAACAGTCCTCTTGTCTGTGCGTCGAGAAGCCCCTGAGCGGTGTGTGAACAGTGGGAAGGCCCGGGCCAGGGCACAGGCAGAGGCAAAGACATTGGGTTGCTCACAGACCATCTGCAGTGGGAGAGAATTGAGGCCACAGGGGCTGTGACCAGAAGTTGCTGGACAGCCACCTTCCTGTGCTTCACAACGGTGCCCCACAGAGGCTGTGTCCCATCCCTTGGGTGGCTTCACTGGGACCAGAGTGACTTGAAGCTAAGTAAGAAGGCCTTAGCCACCAGATGTTGCCTACTGCCTTACCAGGCAGGAAAGGCATAGAGGTGAGCTTCCGCCTCCAGAAATCTAGGCTGGAGTCTCAGATTTGCCATCCAAACAACTCTGGGGTAAATCACTTCTTAGTGCCCGGTGTGCAGGCCCTGGATTATAATGTGTGAGGTCCCTGGGACCACAGAATCCTGCTTTGTGACAATGGAGAGGTGTGGGCTGCTTGAGTACCCTGGCTCCAGGCACATCCGGGCCCTGTCAGCACTCACCAGGATGCACCGATGGGCTCCAGGCGGCAGGCAGGTCCGCACAAGCCTGGTGATGAAGTGGGCAGCAGAGGGGCTGTTGTGCCTGCTCACCCTGGAGGGCAGGGCAGCCACAGTGGCGCAGTTCAGGTAGAGGGGACAGCTGTCCGTGGGGTTGGGGTTGAGCGTGGCCAGAGCTGCTTGCCAGAGCTAGATCAGAGGGAGACAAGAGACAGGCTTCAAACAGTGCGGGTGTCAGCAGCCAGGCCTGCTTCCTAAAGGGCACCGTGTGCTGCCCGGCCCCCGCTTCCTGGGGAGGGGGCTGCGTGTGTCTGTGAGCTGGCACCCTTCCGCCCTCAGGGGATTAGGCCTCGGCCAGTCTGGGGACCCTCTGCTTCAAACACTTGGAACCCCCGACGCATGGGCCTTGGCCAGCTTCCACGGAAGCGGGGTCAGGGGCCAGAGGCCACGAGGAAGGACAGGCAGACGCGGCCACCGGCTTTCTGGGAGGCAGGGCCCGCCGGGCGGCCGGGCGCAGGTGGTGCGGCCTGGGCCTGCGGGGCGACACGGGGACGGGGGTTCAATGGCCGGCCCTTGGTGGGCCCGCCGTGGCCTCCAGGCTGGACGGCCGTGTCGCGGGCCTCCGCCCAGCAGGCCGGCGCGGGCGGGCGGGCGAGGCGGGGCCTGCGCGCGCCGGGCCTGGGCTTCCGCGGGCGCATGGCGGCCGCGGCCCGCTCACCTCCTCGGTGACCCGGGGCTGCAGCTTCCCGCGGACGTGGCTCCAGGGCACGCGGTGCAGGTGGGGCAGCTGCCCGAGCAGCAGCAGGGGCCGACTCTGCGGGTCGGCGTCCCCCGCACTCGCCTGGAACTGCAGCCCCACGTTCGCCATCTTCCCCGCGCCCCGGCCCGGCCACCCGCGCCCCGCTCCGGCCCGGCTCGGCTCGGCACCGCCCCGGCCCGCCCGGCCGCCGCGCCCCGCCTCCCCCGCCGCCGCCGCCGCCGCCGCGGGCCGCGCAGACGTGCAGGGCCCGCCCGGGAAGCGAGGGGGCGCCGGCGAAGGGAAGGGCGGGAGGCCTGCGCCACCCCAGGCCAGGTCTGCTGGCCCCGGGGGCATCCCTGGCAGCCCCCGAGTTGTACTGGGGCCCACCGCCCGGCCTGGTGGGCACTGTCCACGGTCACGTGCCTCGACATTGACCAGGTCCTGCCCCCCCCACCCCAAAACACACACACTTCTCCGGGCCTAGGGGTGGGTGGGGCGTGGGTTCCCATGTCCAGGCTTCTGGCATGGACCGTGAAAGGCACACGCTGCCTTGCCCAGCGGGCTCCTTCCCTGGCCAGCCCTTGCAAGAAAGGTCATAGGGCACGAGTCTGAGTAAGAAGCTACTCCAGCCTCCTGGGCTTCAGGAGAGGAGACAAGCACCCTGTCCTGTTGGGGAGGGTAGGCCCTTGGCAAGGTGGATGAAGTAAGGGCCCTGGCTTCTGCAAGGATAGGGGAGGACCCTGGAGTCATTTAAAAACAGGGATTTTATCCATACTGCTACATCCCGATTGCCCAAGACCGTGGGCTGACACCTTACCTCCTCCTAGTTCCTCCTGCCACTGCCCCTGAATTTCTTCATTTTCAATCTGAAAAGTAGCAAAGTCAACTCCATAGTGTGACCTCCCTGCCTGCCTCTCCAGTCCCCCACCCGTCACCACCCACCAAATGGTCCAGATAGACCCTCCAACAGCAGCACAAAGTGAGCAACAGTGCCCTGAAGGCAGGCCTTTGTGTCTGCCTTTGCCCCTCTCCCTCGCAAGTGTCCATTCCAGAGCAGGCATCACAAAATAGTTGTTGAGTGAAAGGAATTCCTTTGAAACTCTGGCTCTCCAGACATAGAAGTCAATGCTAATTGGGTTTTATTTTCTTCAAAAGATTTTACAGCAGCTGAATGTTTTCACACATTTGTAAAGGGTACTAAGAGCAGCATGAAGATCTATCACTCTTTTTTCTGTTTGCAAATACACTGCAGACAGGCACAAGGCACTCCAGAGGGGGCTGAAACAGCCGGCAAAGTCTGCCTACAGGGTGACACAGGCTCAGCCTGTGTCCCATAGGTGAAACAGGACATCATAAGCCAGGGAAGCCATCCCCACCAGGACGAAGTTCTGGTGGGGTCTGGGGGCGGTGGGAGAGCTACACAGAAGCAGAGTATGTACTGGGGTCGGGGTGGGGGGCTGTGAAACCAGAGGGCAGAACAGGGTCCTGGAGATGGGCAGGAGTCAGGACTGGAGTTGAGCAGGAAGTCTGGCTCTCTGCACAGATTTTACAAACCGAGTTAGGATCCAAAAAGCATTTGGGAAAGTCTGACCTGGCGGTTTGGTGCATAGGGAGTTGGGAGAGGTTTGGAGACCGTCTCCTTTTTGGAATTCTCCCATATTTCAGAACAGACTGAATAACCACAATGACCCCAAACAAGAATGAACAGGTTGATTCAATTCAACCAATATTTATTGAACACTTATTACACAGAAAGCAAGAGAAAGATGTTAGGTGCTTGTTAGAAGCAAATATTCCTGATTCTGATTTTAAACCACCCCCGAATCAAAGAATCCAAACTAAATAGAATAGTAAGGATTTATTCCACTTCAAATGCCTGCCAGTTTCCTCAACGTGCAGCTTGTGACAGACACAAATAGATTCCAGGAAAGTACTTTCCCCTTTCACTGTAGACTTCACAGACTTCAACATAAATAAGACAGGCAGCACTTTGTTTAGATAAATTTTTATGAAGGTATTAATCCACGGCTTAGTGTATATTTCACTGTCAATGAAAAGTTCACCTCTATTTAATTTTCTTTTTTTTATGAAGGTATTAATCCACTGCTTAGTGTATATTTCACTGTCAATGAAAAATTGACCTCTATTTAATTTTCTTTTTAAAAAACAGTGAAAGTTTAAAATAAATGGCCAGATCTTTAACGCAACCCAAGAAGCAACATATGTTTTTTGATGAATTGAGACTACACTCATCTGGGTGTGCAGACTTAACTTAGAAGTTGAAGAAACAATTTAAAACTTCTGGAAGAAATCAGAATAAAGTTCCCAGGACTTATTAGGAAGTTTTTTTGGTGCTGTTCACATTCTAAGACAAATTTCTGAAATCCTATCCTGTCAGATGGATGGCTCTAGGTATCTAAAATGTACATTGACATGTTAATTTCATGCCAGAGTCCACCAAATCTCCTAAGGCCTGCTTAGACTCAGCTAAAGGCTACAAGATTCCCCAACTGTAGTATGTCTAACGAGAGAAAGCTAGCTTCATAGTTTCTGGCATTTTCATTTGTTCATTCATACAACATGCTTTTATTGAACACCAGTTCTGAATAGCTCTAGGCCCCATCAGGCTTTGGGGGAACAACAGTGTGTGCTCATGCCTATGTGTGTGGATGTGGGGAGTGAGCATAGCAATCAAACCCAGAAACTGGGTCACTAGGAAAAAAGGCTCAGTTATGGAAGGTCCCATGGACTGAGATGAGACCTTTAACTTGGGTTTTACTCTTTTTTTGGCAGCACTAAGGTCTGAATTCAGGGCCTCACACCATTAGGCAAGTGCTCTACCACTTCAGCAGTGCCACCAAGTCCCTTTTGCTTGAATTACATTTCCCATAGGGTCCCATGCTTTTGCCCAGGGCCAGCCTCAGAATGTAATCCTCCTACCTCTACTACCACATTTGGTTTATTCTTTGAGACAGGGTCTTACTAACTTGTTGCTAGGGCTGGATTCAAACAAACTACAGTCTATCTCTGCCTTTCAAGTAGCTGGGATTTCCAGGCACGAGCCGCCACCGTGCCCAGCATTTAATTTGGGTCTTGCGGGATGAGATGGTGCTGGACAGTTTGAACTATGCCCAGGGAACTGTTCACGGAAAAGCCTGAAGAGTAAAGGGATTGTCCACATAGGCAGTGTTTGATGCACACATGGCTGGCGGACACACGGTGTGCCTACAACTCACACTGAGCCTTACAGTTTTCACTTGACCTTGTGGGTAACCAAAAGCCAGTGGAGGTGCCTGAGTCAGGACTAACATGAAATAAAGGCAGCCTGAAGCTTCATAAGCACGGAGGGCGCAGAGCCTGACTTCCCTGACAACCTCCCTCCATAACTGTCCTGGAGCCGCCAGCCTTCAAGAGAGATTGAGCCTGACCAACAGACACCAACACTCGCGTGACCTCCCCTAGCACTGCCCTGACTGCATGTTTGTGTCTTCCCTCACCATGAGCAGAGTTCCAGGATCTCTGGCCCCCTTCAGTCCAGAACAATTCTTGTCTTTGAGTACCAGGAAGTACCTGAGTCACATTCCTTAACTGGTGGCACCAGACTTGCCACCTGGGTTTGCACCGAATGTTTCCTGAAGGAAGGAAAAAGAACTCATGACCATGAAAAGCACATTTCTCTAGAAAGTCTTTTGTAAAATTCATTAACTTACGGGAATGTTGAAAAACTGGCATAATAATTATTTGTATGCCCTTCGATGATAGATGTGCATGTGTATACAAACGTGTACATATAAAGGCACACACACGGGCATGTGTGATGTGTCTATGGATATCTTTTTCTGCATCATTTAAAATAAGTTGCACACACTCACCCTAAGTACCTCTTAGGAACAAGGAGAATCAAAGTAATATCCCAATCGTACCTACGGAAATTGGACAGTGAAGCAATGTTATCATCTAATGTATTCAATAGTCCACGTTGGGATTTCCTTAATTATCCCCAGATGTCTTCAAGGCCTTTTCTTTCTAAATCCAGAGTCTAAATAAGTATCATTTGGCGTCAGGACCTTCTGGGCCCCTTCAATCTACAACAATCTTGTCTTTGTCTTTCTTGACATTGGCGTGTCAGAAAAGGCCCCACAGTCTGGATTCACCTGTTTCCTCAGGATTAGATTGGGGTTCAATGTTTTTGTTGACAAAAATACCTGTGTTTTCCACTGGGCCTTACAGAGGAGTCACAGGGTCTAAGTGCCCCCGTATTAGCCCAGAGTAGCTACTCAGTTTCAGTGGGGTCTGCCAGATCTCTTCACAGTAAAAGTGCATTTCCAGCTTTTATGATTAATAGAATTAAAATCGATGTCCTTTCTAATCCAAATTCTACCCTCACTGTTTCTCTCATTTATAGATGTGCTCGAGGCCAAGGGCTCTGGTTTGTTTCTTTGACTCAGAAGAAGTGCCTAGGGAATCAAATGTGGTTTTTTAACTTGGTGTCTGACCCAGGGCACCATAATAGACCTCCCTACCTGAGCCTCCCTTTTCCAGATGGGAAAACTGAGACCCATGCCAGGGCTGGAGTGATGCTTTGAGACTACAGGAATGTTCTGGTTCCCAACAGCCTTTCCCCCAGAGTCATGGTACTGGCTACAGATGCTTGTTTTCTAGCCGTGTCATACCTGCTAGTCCTCAGCAAGGACAACCTTCCCCTTTCCAGGACCAGCTGCATAATCTGTGAGTCCAATGCAAAAATGAATTCATGGCTTCTTTCCCCAAAGCAATTTCAAGATGGCAATAGTGGAGCACTAAATCAACCACAGGGCCATGTGCCCATTGTGTACAAATAGATGCATATGTCCTTCCTATATATTCTTCAGTACCCCTGCTCCAAGTGTCCCCACTCAGGCCAGTGAGAGCACCATCAGACTGGTTCCTGTGGTTTTTGATGTGTGCTTATTAGATTTTGAGGCCTTTGGACCTTTCTGGAATAATATGGTTCCCAGGATCACTTGTTCCTTCCTTGCCCCAAATCAAGTCAGCCATTTTTCTAGGAAACCTTAGCTGGCTCCTTTCATCCTGGGGAACAGTTGGTTAGAAAGCAAGAGCGTGCTCAAATGTACACAGCGCTCAGGTGTCCTTGCTTCCAGCTGTCTTGGAGGGCAGTTAGTATAATTCGTGCTCACTCCTTCTGCCA